TGAGTACTTTCTCCACCACTGTTGATCTTCCATTAGTATTATTTCCTGCTTCAATTGAAAATTCACTTTAGAAAACTGTTTAAGTGTAGAAATGTAGGAGCTGGTCCAAGTGGTTTGGGAGAGGGAAGTCTGGGCCTCCTAACTTAGGTTGCTACACCCGCGACCCAACTCCAGATAAGCGGAAGAAGATGGATGGATGGTTGGATGGTTCTTTATCTGCTAAAAACAATTGTCTCCTCCTCAGTTGCAGTTAACAGATGTGGGCAGACTTTGCACTCTCCTTTTCTTAGCACTTGTGTCTAAAAATGGGGTCCAACCGACCCCACATACGTAAAAACTTGTATCATTTGCCAGTCCTCTACGTTTGCCTCAGTCCTCGCACGCACAAGGGTTAAGAAAGCTTTTTTTTTTTTTTACAAAAAGTTAACAGGAAGAGGAGTGATAAAAGTTCAGCTTGTCTCTCCAGTGTTAATATCACAAACTTTCAACTGTACATAAGCAACTGTACATATGCAGCACCAACTCGGATCTGAAGTGCTCCCATTATGCCCTCTCAAAGGCCACAATAAAAACATTTACATTTTTCAAGTCTAAGGTTCACACAAATAGAAATGCTGATGACTCCACGTTGTGGCCATGCAAAAAAAGAAAAAAAAAAGAAAAGAAATTATGCAGCACAACACATATTTCCATGTTACTATGAAAAAACAAATTCAAACAGTTTGAGGATTTAAAAACCCTTCCATAATATTTCTGATCAGCCTGTCTAGTCTTTCATTAAGAGGATCTTAACATTTTTTTCCTGTTTCACTTTGGTGTATTTCTCCAATCAAATAAAATTCTCAATAAAGTATGTAAATGTTCTTAGTGTATATCCATATATTTATTTAATTATTTTTTATTCTTTATGTTGGTTGACACCCAGTGATCAACAAATTGTATCTTTATGCCTGTGCAATGTGTGATAATGCCTATGTTATGAGGTTGTGCTAACAGCACACACACACACACACACACACGCACACACGCACGCACGCACGCACGCACACAGCCACACAGATATATACAAACAGATAAATAACCTTTAAACAGAGAAGTATTTGTCCGTTCTGAGTTATTCATCCACCAACATTATGACTCGAACACTCTTTGTGCTGGGGTTTCTGCTCATCTGTGTCGCTGCAGGTGGGAAAATGAAAGTTTTTCTTGTTTCATTTGTTTTGAAAGTATATTTTGAAAGTAGTTTCTTTACAAAGTACAGCTGTAACTATTTCATTTCTATTTACAATGAAACCTGCTTTGATAAATTGTTTTATGCTGATCACTATGTTAAGGTCAAATTCTACAGTACAAACAAAAACATACAAAATGATCTAGATTCCATTTTATAATGCATAATACACTTTAGGTTAATTCACACTGACCCTGAGAGCTGGTTGTTATCTAAAACCTTGACATCATATATGAACTGTGATGCCAGCACTGTTATATGTCAGTTGGACTATTAAGGAAAACAAAACTTACTTTATTATTTTCTATAGATTCTGCTGGAAAGTCTGGACTCTTGAGAAAGGTAATACACATTTTAGAATTAAACTATTATCTATGTATAAAACTTACTATAACTGAACAAAATTTGATGTGATGTTGTTTTCATATGTTGGATAGACTTCTTGTCCTACTCGAAGGGTGAACAGGATTTGCCCAATGAACTTTGCCCCTGTGTGTGGCAGTGACGGAAACACTTACTCCAATATGTGTGTCCTCTGCACAAAGTGAGTACACACAGCCGCTCCACACTTGAAGGATTCACACATTAATTTTGTCACCTAGTCTGTCTCTTTGGAGAATAAAATGCATTAGTCACCACTTAGTGATCAACTAATACAAAACCAAAAGGTGTTCTACCCTGAACAAAAACCTAAATGCGCCATTTTTGTTTTTGTTCCCGTTTGATCGTGAGCTGAACTCAAAATGTTTTCCATGTATACAATAGAACTATTCCTCTTAAATATAGTTCATAACTGTTCTAAATTTATGTTAGTAGCTGCACTTCCACTGGCTAAGTAATTTGACATTTAGAAAATAAATTAGCTTAATATAAACATGCCAATTTAACAAAAAACACGACAGGAAGTAGCAGGAGGAGAAAAATGTGCCATGTTTTTTTTGAATGTTTATCACATGAACAAACTTGCATGTGATTTTAATTGTATTTCTTATTTGCTAAATTGTGTGTGTATGGTTTTTTTTACATTTGCAGAATATCAAACAAGATTTTGTACACATTTGTAATGGAATGGCAGCTACTGAGTGACTTTCTGACCTTTCAGCACACCCTGCAGTAAAACAAATCTGCACATTTCAGAATGTCCTCTTATTGTGGCCAGTCTAAAGCACACAGTGTGCACTCATGCTGTCTAATCAGCATCTTGATATGCCACACCTGCAAGATGAGATGAATTATCTTGGCAAAGAGGCAGAGCTCTCTAGCCCAGATTTAGACAGATTTGTGAAAAATGTTTGAGAGAACAATGTATATTGTGTATTTAAAAAAAGCTTGGATGTTTGGGTTCAACTCATGACAAAAAGGAGAAAAAACAATTGTTGCATTTATATTTTTAAGTGTAAAGAAATCTCTGGTTTTGTCTTTGGAAATACAACAGGATACATGTGAATCAACCCCTGAGAGGGACAGGAAGGTTTTTCTAGTGTTTTTCTACAATGAAGGAAAAAAGAGCAATTCTTATCCTGCATTCACACAAGTGTTCACCTTAGATATATTTTAAGCCTAGGAAAAATAACTTTTAATTGTTCATAAAAAAAATTGTTACTTTGTTTTGTTTTATAAATAACATTGCATCTGAATGAGTGAATCACAGCTATGCCATGTCTCAATTCTCTCCTCATGGAAACCAGAAAGGACATCATGTTCGTCAGGGAGGGACGCTGTTGATCTGTGCAGTTGATAAAATCAACACTATGAAGCAAACTGGAAAAATATCTACTCTTGTCACATTGTAATAAAGTCTAAATGTCTTCAATCTTGTGACCTTCTGGTTGTTTTTCTCGGTATTATACAATTTATGCTGTATGCTAGGTTAACAAGGAAGAGGCTAAAGAGTTACTAAGTAAATAAACTTTATATGTATGGCACTTTCACAGATTAAAAAAAGGATTTTACAGAAGTACAGATGTAGGCATAAATAGAATAGACCAGTACAGTGAGAACAGATGAGTAGAACAAAAGTAGAACATTTAACTAGAGAGGCTCTGGGATAAGGACAGAGTATTATTTGAAGTCCCAGAAAGCTTCATAAATCCTGAAATTGACAAATATACTTTAGTTTTTAATAAAAACATTTAGTAACACACTTAGCAATACAATAAACTACCATGACCTTTGAGCATTTTTACTGCACAAAATTAAAATTTTCTGCAGAGCAATTGTGGTTTCTCGGCAGGTCATATCGACATATTTCATGACTGAAAGAAGGATGAAATGAAAAATGTATATGGGGATTTTTAAATATCTGAAACCTAAGGTGAGCTAATTTTTTTCACATTTTTGCAGTGTTTTAAACTATTTCCCATTGCTCTAGGTACTTGTGAAAGGGTAGTCCATTTAAACCACCTCTGGGCCTGTTTGGCGAAAAAGTCAGATGATGCCACATATACTAGTATATGTGTGTGTTCAAATTAAACCTGTATTGTTTAATATGAACAATACGAGTTCAAATTAAAAGTTTTATTTCTAAGATAGCAAAAATTACTAAAATATTATTGTTTACTTTCAACAATTGTAAAACTATACTCTGAAATTACTTAAAAATTGCAGTATTTTATGGGTTATTGATGACGCTTCCTCCACTAGCATTACATTGTTGTACAAATCCAATTTGCATAACAGTAAATACTAAGGGAGAATATGCTTAAGCACAACTAAAACATGATGTGAATCTTGTTCACACTACTGTTCGCAATCTCTTTTACATCTTTTAAAAATGCTTAAACTGCAGCAACCCCTGAATGCCTGTGAGGGCACATGTGCAGCATTGCTTGAAATTAATTTAAAGGTTACCTCAAACAGCTTTTTCAATTGCCTAGCAATTAAAAAAGGCAATATTCTCCATACAGAAAATGTCTAGAAGCTGTCATAAGCAACACAAAGTGTCCTAAGTATTTAATACAGTTGTTATTCCTTGTGCTTTTCCACATTAACTTAATTCATGGACTGATTTATTTACACTTTTTGTGTGTGCGTTGTTACATAGATGCTATGTCAATTTTATATCAGTAATCCGACTGAAAACATAACTACTGAGAAAAATGTTGATGTGCCAGCTGTACAGAAAAACAAAGTGAAGAAAATAAACAAAAACTACAGTCGGGAGAAATTTGTTGTCAAAACATGATTTTTTTTATTAATGTAAAGAATAACTATTCACAATGGGTAACAGACTCAAACAGCTGTAATACTTAAAAATGTAAACAAAGAATAATATTGAGAATGAAAAGAGAAGAATCACCACCCTCATTCTGTCCTGCATTTCTCACAACTATTTCTGCTTCTCAATTTCTTCACTTATTTTCATCACATGTCTCTTAAATACACAAGCCTTTGTTCTCTACTTCAAGTTTCTAGCAAACATCTCACTGGGGTGGCGTAGCTTTGTTGTTGTGTCTGTTTTCCAGTGGAGAGATTTTTTTCTTCTTTTACATCTCTAAGTCTAAAAAATGGAAACTAAGGCCTGCTAAGCCTGTAAAGTGCTCAAATTCTTTAAAAATCAGGGGTTTCAAGCAAGAGGATAAAATCCTCAGTTCGTAGTTAGTGGATCCCAGAGATAATTGAAACCCCTTCCAAGATTTTATACAAGACAGAGCACCTGTAATTACAATCCACCATCAATTAAAATCCTGGATGATTCTTTTTTTTTTTTTTTTAACTATAAAGTCTTAAAAGCACAATTGAATTTACATGGTCCTCGTTTTTAGTCTGGCTGGTTGTTTAGCTGCTAAAAACTGTTGTCTCATCCTCAGTTGCAGTTAATAGATGTGGGCAGACTTTGGCAATTTTTCCACAGGATGAATGCAACTTGCAGTCTAGTTAAGAAAAGAAGGAGAGTGCACACTATTTTTTTTTTTTTACAACAACCCCAGTTGATAAGAGAAACAGGAATATATTTCAAACTGACCTGATGGATAAACGTTATAAAACACTCGTTTGCTTTTGTTGATCGGTCAGGGTTTAAAGTTTAGCTTTGTTTGGCACACAGACAGTTAGTTCACTCCAGTGTTAACATCACAAAATTGCAACTGTACATATTATCCATGCAGCACAGGCTCAGATCTGAAGTGCTCCCATCATACCCTCTCAAAGGCCACATCCAAAACATTTACATATTTCAGATCTAAGGTTCACACAAATAGAGCAGCTGATGACTCCACCTTGTGGCCGTGCAAAAAAAAAAAGAAAAAGAGAGAGAGAGGGCAGGATGAGCAAAGCCAGAAGAGCAGAATGCATGTCTTAACCAAACATAAGGGAACCACTATTTTTTTGTTTTGATTCTGACAATGAAGGACAACAGTTAAAAAACCCCCCACACACACACAACATTTCACAATAACCTATAACAAAACTATTTTCCATATGCTTTGTTGCATGTTGGTATTGGTCTTATACATTCCTTGGCAGCCTACATACATTGTTGTTTTTAATGGAGTGCTCAAGCTTGACGCTCCACCAGAATAGGCACTGTGCTGGACAATGTTAAGGACACCAAATACAAAAAAAAAGAAAAACCCACATTGGTTAGCAGTTTGAATTATTAGACAACCATGAGAAACAACTTAACCATGCTTGGCTAAAAGGATTTTTCTTTTTTCAGATTAGCAAAAGTTAAAACACAGATGATTGCACATTTGAGACTAAAACGGGATTTTTAGATGCTTACCTTTAACCATCTCTTGGATTATAAAACAACTGCGCTTGGTAACGAATAGAAATTGAGAAAAGGTTTGACCCTGAATAAAAGAAATGAGTCAGTCCATCTTTCAACAGCTGGCAGTGAATGATTCGAATGACTTTGTTTTTACAGCGTCATAAACTCTGCTGTCGCTTGCTTACAGGCAGTCCTGCAGACTGCTGCCGTCTGCTCCAAGGAATGGGGACGAAAACCTTCCAGATTTCGTTTCGCGTTATCCCCTACCAAAGTGTCTTATCCATGAAGTCAGTAACCTGGACTTTCCAGTTGAACGGAGAAATTCAGATCCTGCCGTCACTTCAAGTGTCTTCTTTCTTCCAGTCCACGTCGTGAAGAGGAGAAGCACCAGTCTCCAACCTCTACACAGCTATCTTCTAATCTTAAATATATATACGTTTATTTTACTTGCATTGATTTGCATTGAGTTTTTCATCGTTTCAGCGTCTGTCAAAAACCTGCCGTCGTTGCCTCCGTCGGAGGCTGTGCGATGAGACGCAGGTTCACTGAGACACGATGACAATTAAAAAAGACTAAAAAATAGAAATAAAAAAATGACCGTAGGTGGTCTCCCGCACAAGTCAATGGTCCACGTTTTTTTTTTTTTTTTTTTTTTTTTTTAGCAGGGAGAGAGGGTGAAGCATGATTCAGAAATCAGACACAGCTCTCTCTTGTCTTGCTGTCTGTGAGGAAAGAGTTCAGCTGGGAAAGGTCCACCACGACTGCATCCCGCTTGCTCAGGTGGATGTCTTTCAAGTGGTCCTCGTCACTTTGGTCCTTGGCGAAATTAACAAACACCTGAGAGAGGGGAAATGAAAAAATATATACAATTAGATATTGCTAGACTAATCTGAATTTTTTGCAGTGGCTGTTTTTGATTTCTATAGTGAGCTTCTCAGGGTGTCAGTAAAAAAGTGTGGTTTAGCAGCACAGGCACAAGATAAAAATGTAACTTGAACAAGTTTTCTATTGCTTCTCATTGATTCTTTTGCAGAGCAGCGCCATATTTTATCCAATTTCAGAATGTTGAACATGGCTGGCAGAGGGGCCCGTTAATTCAAGAACAGCCACTGACTTTGTGTTCGCTTGCTTACTTGGTCTAAAGTAGTCTGAGAGACAGAATAGTCCTCTATGCTGAGTGCCTCCTTGTTTTTGGAGAGAAGGGAGAAGATTCGGGCGAGGGAGGTGAGCGAAGAGGGGAGCTGGTACTGCAGCATGTTGCGGTGTTTCTCCTTCAACGTGCTCCCCGGCAGTTCCTGTTCTATGAACTCCATCACCAGCCGTAGGTCCGGGTCCGGCCCCGCCACGCGCAAGATGATGGTGTAGCCGTCTCCAAACCTGATGGAAGACATTTATTGTTTTAAGTGTGAATAACGGTGGAAAAAGAAATTTGAGTATGAAAACAATGCTTTGGGTTTACAGGTTTCACCCCTTATTTCGTTACCGAAACGGCATTTTTTTGTAATGAAAGGTTTCATTTGTGCATGCGTACCGGTTTTTAAGGTGCTGCACACTGCCCAGACAGCGGAACCTGCCGTTCACCATGATAGCCATTCTGGTGCAGAGTGCTTCACACTCCTCCATACTGCGACAAACGAAGAGAGAAAACATGTATTCAATACACAGACATAGGGAGGCTACAGAAATTGTTCATCGATTCCAATAGTTCAAAGAGATGCTTCGACTGACCTGTGGGAGGTGAGAACCACGGATCGTCCCTCTTTGATGATGCTCAGGATGGCGTTCCAGAGGGCCCGACGTGCCTTAGGGTCCATTCCTGTTGTTGGTTCATCCTGTTACAAAGGTGATAACATACGTTTAGCAACACATCAGTTAGTGCCACTATGAACATTGTCATCTTTATGTTTTATGATTAATATGTAGTTTCACTGACCAAAAACACAACAGGTGGTCCTCCTATGAGTGCAATGGCAGTGGAGAGTTTCCTCATGTTTCCTCCACTATAGCTCCCTGCTGCTTTGTCCACATACTTGATCAATCCCAGTTTCCGTATCCCCCACTCTGCCACCTAGTGGGGAAAAAAGAGTTTTGCTAAATGTTTTGACAAGCTTAGCATTTCTTTGTTTGATATACATGTTATCGGAGTAGGTTGGACATGAAAGACCAATGATGTGTGTTGCTGCTGACCTCGCAGACTTCCTTCTCAGGTACTCCTCTCAAGATGGCGTAGAACTCGAGGTGCTCTCTTCCAGTCAGAAGGTCGTTGATGGCATCAAACTGAGGACAGTAGCCCATGTTCTGATGCACCTCGTTTATTTCTGTGTTTACACTGAAAGGAGAGAAAACACACAAGAACATTAGTCTCCAAATGTTATTTTAGTTTTAAATGAAATAAGAATGCTTGTCTTGTTTCATACCTCTTGCCAGCTAAGTAGGCCTCACCGCTGGTCACATCTGAGTCTCCAGTCAACATTTTGAAGGTGCTGGTCTTTCCTGCTCCGTTGACCCCAAGCAAACCAAAACACTACAAGGGAAAATGTGTATCATTGAGTATATCTGCTACGATTATTTCCACACTTGCTTAATCTCATAAAAAAATACAAATATTCTTGCATGTTCCTCTGTATTATTTTCTGTAAACTGGAGCATACCTCTCCGGGAGGGATGCCAACACACAGCCGGTCCACGGCCGGCTTCTGTTTCCGCTTGTAAATCTTGGTGAGCTGCCTCAGCTCGAGAATGTCCAACTGTCCACCGCCGCTCAGGATCCTCTGTCGCTCTCTGGCAACGTCTTCATCCTCTTCTCCAATTGGTTTCAGATGGCCGGTGGAGGATCTGCGGAGTTTTAAAATAGGAGAGTTAAAATTTCAGCGGACTTGAGCTTCACAGCCTGAAATATAAACCCACAACTAATGTTTTCATTCGTGATGTCTGGGTAAGTGGTAGGTGAACTCGACTGATGACATGTTTTACCAACCTGGCTTTAAAGCAGAAGCGGTACTGGATGAGGACGGTGATGCAGAAGAAAATAACCCCCTCTATTGCCATGGCGAACAGGTTCTTTCCCACCATGTCCCAAGCCAGAGGAGAGCGAAACCGGTTTTCACCTATAACAGACATTTCGTCTCTTTAACGTGGCCTTTCATGAGACTTTTCTTGTCCTAGTCAATGATATGACAACAGGTCAAAGTAAAGACTCACCAAATCTCTCCAAAGCATCAGCCATGGCTTGATTCTTCACCATGTCAATCAGTCCTCTACCCAGGCAGAAGTGAGGGAAGATGAGGAACACATTCTTCAAGATGTCATTAATACCACCGATCTCCTGAGAGAGGAATGCAATTAATGCCAATTTAACTTCCTAATGTTTAAAAAAAAAATCCTACAGTCTGAAACTCATAACATTTACTTACATTACTTCCAAACAACTCCAGGACAAACGTGGACACACTGCCATTGATTCCAATCAGTATGTTGACACTGGTTAGAACTACGTAGGCAGTGCTGGGGATCTTAAAGAAGAAAGAGGCTGGGTACATCAGAGGGGTGATTGACCACCTGGTAAAAGAAACAAAACGTAAATTTACATGAAGTCCTTGAATGTGGTTGAAGTGAAAAGCCCCAGTGTAGAAAGTTTGTCCAAATTACCCATAGAGGAGAAGCAGCAGAGCCAGTACTGGTAGATTGGTGGAAGAAACATAGGCTTCTTGTTGGAAACAGACAAATATGATGATCACTAGCGTAGCTGGAACGACGTAGTTACACTGCGAGAAGGAAAAGGAAGAGGAGGACCTTTCAGTATTTCCACCTGGAATATTTTGCCACTCGAGTGGTGTTGCCTTTGTAATGTCTCACCATATCCCAAATAAAGTTGGCCAGCCAGTAGAGCAAGGGTTGCACCCCACTGATGAACTGCATATGCTTGGCCTTTGTTACTCTCTCCTGGATGAGGAAGACCACAAAACTGGCAGGGACGAAGGACATGGCGAAGATGACGCAAATGGACACCAACACGTCCACAGACGTCGTCATCCTAAAACCCAAGAAGTAAGAATTGTAGGTCGGGAAAATTTCCGCTTGCGTTCATGTGGCAAATTGATCATGATGCTCACAGTGCGACTTGTGAGAGCTGCTCCTTGGTGAGGTTTAGTGGATGGTTGTAAGCGGTGATGCCAAACTTCGTCGGGTCTTGACCAGGTTTGAGACTTGACCGTAGAATGGCGTTGTTCATCACGTTGAGGAAGGAGCCAATGCTGTGCCAGCCCTTGTTGTTAAACCAAATCTAAAGGAGAGGGGGGGGGGATTTTAAACTTGGATTTAAAACCATTGTCTTAGAGATGAACTGTTTATAACCAATAATTATTTAAACAGCACCAATCAAAATATAATGAAGTGTGAAATACAAAAAACATATAGAGTTTCTAACCTTAACGTTATTCTTTGTGTCCAATCCTTGGATAAAACCAGAGAGACTGCTGAAAAAACGAAAGGCTGCCGTTCCCTAAAGGATGGATGAGGCAGAAAGGAAAGGAGAGAGACAGAGAGAGTTGTGTTTAGAAAATATGTAAACTGGCATAGTTGGCTTAAAT